GGGGGGGTGGCCTCTCTCTCCAGACACCGTGAAATGCCCAAAGAGTGATGCCGCCCGTGACTGAGATTCAAACAGGCGATTGCGTGCATCGCAACCGACGCCTTAGTCCGCTCGGCTACTCCACCCCCAGTTAACAAAAATTGTTTTGTATAAAGTACCTATTAATTTTACAATTACATTATATGTTTAATATCAAGTACTTAAACCTATTAACATACAGTTTAAATAATTAATGAATATTTTACAAAATACTGAATACTTGTATTTCTGTTTTTGCAGGTCTTGATAATAGTTATTCTGTGATATAAAATGCCAGTGAACGAGAATGTAATTCTTCTTGATATTGAAGGAACAATTACATCTATTAGCTTTGTCAAAGATACATTATTTCCGTATGTCACTGAAGTCCTCGAGGATTACGTTGAAAAACACTGGGACGATGAGAGTTTTCAACAAGATTTAGAATCATTACGTGCACAAGCTGTTGTTGATTCCAATATTGAAGGTTTTGTACCGATATCTACTGGCGATAATGCAAAGAAATCTGTAATCAATAATGTATTATGGCAGATGACCAACGATAAAAAAACTACAGCTCTAAAGCAATTACAAGGTCACATATGGAAAGATGGATATGAAAGTGGTCTTTTAAGAGGTCATTTGTATGAAGATGTATTACCAGTTTTAAATAAGTTAACTGAATTGGGTAAAAAGATATACACCTATTCCTCTGGRAGTACTAAAGCTCAAGAGTACTTATTTCAATATTCCATATATGGAGACGTGTCTGGTATATTTCTAAAATATTTTGACACTAAAATGGGTCCAAAAGGCTCAGAAACCAGTTACACAAATATTGCTAATGAAATAAATGTAAATTGTAGTGATATTTTATTCTTAACTGATGTAATAGTTGAAGCAGAAGCAGCTATAAAGGCTGGTTGTAATTCAATTCTCTTGGTAAGGCCTGGTAATGCTCCTCTGGATCCTGAGAAAAGTTCAAAGTTTAAAATTATAAAGACACTAGATGAATTATTAGAAACTTAGTACAAACATAGACACACATAAAATACATATTATGTGAAAACATAAAATATTTAATACATATCATTATTCATCAATAAYGTTACATTTGTATTTTATTTATTATTCTTATAAAATAGGTTAAAAATATATGTACATTTTATAGATTTTAAGTAAAGTTTATTTTATAACTGTATAATTGTTTGTTTAAAAAGAGAAATCCTAAAGTAATTATTCTTTTTTAATAATAACATTGATTAAATTTAAAATTAAAATTAAATATTTAATCAATGATAATAAAGAATACTAAATTTCAACTTTATACTTTCAACAAAATTTTTTTTTAATTTTCTTATTAATTTCAAAAAAATTTTGTTGAAGTGTTGAGTTATTAATATAAGTTTTAATAACAAGTTATTAAGCAAGTTGATTATTTTTTTGAAAAAATTTAGAATATMTATTTTCACAACTGTCAAATAAATATTTATTTTATACAAAACAAGCTAACCCCACACAATTTGTTGTCAGTTAAAAAATGCCATTTATTATATGATTTAAATTTGGTTAAAATTGTTATTTAATATGCTATATTTCTACTAATTATAAT